ACATGCAAAAATCAGACAGCTTATCATAATAGTTCACATCACAAAAAAGTAAAGAAATTGGTATCAAACTGAAACAATATGGCATTTTGGTTGTTGAATTTAAAATAAATTAACATTAACACTGATCATTGGTCCCATTCATGAACACAAGTATACAATCAATAATATATATTCAGTTTTGTTAATTTTTTTGTATCTTTAAAATGTAAATAAGCTTGTAAGCCAAGTATGGATGGCAAGAAATTATGCTGCTGTAATTGTGCCAATGGAGAGATACTGAAATAACTGATGCTGCCTCGAGGTGAGTGGCTACTTATGCACCGGCAGTTTCAATCTTCCCAAAATTGCCTTATTTGGAATATACATAAAAAATAAAATAAAAATGTAACTACCGTAATTCCTCAAATAAAAGCCTTTATTTACCTAAACTGCAGAAAGGACCAGGCTTTTATTTGAAGCAGGCTTTTATTAGAGGCAGGCCTTTATTTAAAAAAAAGGCTAAATCAAATTTCCGTCTGGGTTCCATGCTCCTCAAGACAATTTCGTTTTCAATAAAGTTGTTGAAAAGACAGTTATACTAGCAGCACTAAATTATATCTGTGTTGCATCTATTTCTACCATCCATTGGCTGTACGTTACGATGAACTTGAATGCACCCCACACAGCAAAGGAGTCCGTGGCAGACCCACCCTCAAGCCTCCAGACCCGCTTGACTGTCAGGTTCGTTTACATTATGGGCTGTTTACACCTGGCCACTTCTTGCGTTTTCTCAGATCTGATTTATCAAAACAATTCTACTTAAATCTGCTCACAAATGCGTTTTCGTAAAATGGAAAAAGCAACAGATATGAGCTGCTGCATTTGATAGATCAGCTCATTTCAAAATCAAAAGACTGCAATGAGAGAGAGTGGTTCAGCCCTGGTAAGATCATTTCTTTACCTTTAATGATGAGGAGTATTTTCTGCGACTTACTTTCACTTTAATTTGCAATAGGTTGCACGTTGGCTTAATGAATAGATGCTCAGCTTCCGTGATGCGTGTTGCAGTTGCGTTGTCACATCTTGCTATGACATTACAGCCTATAACACGCTCTCACACTTTTATATTTTTGCGTTTTTGGGAGGAGTAAAATTTAGATAGGTGGTTTCAACAATCAGATGCATTTGATTTACACTTAGGCTATGCAGTTTCGTCTAGAATCTCGTCTCAGATCTCAGATGAAGTGGTTTGAGCGATCGGATTTAAATCGTCTCGAATGCGCTTCGGATGGCATTTATACCTGGTATTTTCACGATCAGATCACAGAACACGCATGTAGTGGACCGGTGTAACATCTCTTCAATGAAAGGCATTCAGGAGATTATCCACACTAATTTCCCCCAGCCTTAAATTGATACCGGCCTTTATTTGTCCGCGTTGACCACTATCAGAGGCCCGGTTTTTATTTGAGGAATTACGGTAATTATTTAAATGTAGAAAGAAAATCCCTTTATGAACAAGCAAGTCTGTTTTCTTTTTTATTACTAGTATACTTTGGAATAGTATTTGTTGTATTATATTTAACACTTTACTTGAATCATTTCTGCATCCTGAAGCCAAACCTGAGAAGAGCTGGAACACATAATTCCTGTTATTGTACTAATTCATTAATGGGGAATTTGCTGATTTTGAATGAGCTTGTATGGGCACCCTGTTTATGAATAGAACAATTGAAATTCATTAACAAACACAAATTACATCAGATAAAATGTGTGAGTGTGAATTAATTTTGAGTTTTTGGGACAGTTTACATGTAAATTGCTCTGAATTTATTTACAAAAGCTTCATGAATGATGCCCATTTTATATGCTGAGTAACGTCATCTTTCTTGCAATTAACTGAAAGCTTGCATGCCAATGTTCCCTCTCTAAGCTAATAAATCTATTATAAAAGCTTATTAGGGCCCAAGCCCTGAAAGGGCGAAGGCCCTATTGTTTTCCTTGGGATTATTAGGGCCCGAGCACTAACTGTGCGAGGCCCAATTAAAACTGTTGGGATTATTTTTAGGGCCCGAGCACTAATAGAGCGAGGACCCTATTGAAACTGTTAGGGTTATTTTTAGGGACCGAGCACTAACTGTGCGAGGCCCTATTGAAACTGTTGGGATTCTTTTTTTTTTTAGGGCCCGAGCTCTAACTGTGCGAGGCCCTATTGAAACTGTTGGGATTATTATTATTTATTTTTTTCTTTATTTATTTCTTTTTTCTTTTTTCTGCAAAGTAAACGCCATTTTCGGGGCCGCAACATGCTCAAAAACTCACCAAATTTGGCACGCCTGTCAGGACTGGTGAAAAATTTCGTATTTTGTGGGTTTCGAGGATGGGCGTGACAAAATGGCTCGCTAGCGCCACCTAGGAAATTGGAAAAAATTAGCCCCTCGTCCACGTTCAATTTGGTGGGGACGTGTATCATATCAAGACGCACAAAAAAGCCTCAAGAACCCATACCTTAAACTTGACAGGAAGTCCGCGATTCAAATTTCAAATTTCTGCTGTGCCTCCTAAAGGCATTGACGATGTAAAGTTGTGCTATCTGTGCGTTTTCGTCGATGGGCGTGTCCGTGGCATCGATGATTTGCCATGAAACAGGAAGTTGTAGTAACTTGGCTGTAAATGCCCAGATCTGCACAAAATTTTACACATTTGACAAGAGTACCGCCCTGAACAAATCTACATGCCAACATTCACCCACAGTCATAGTGCCACCTGCTGGCAACAGGAAGTGACGTTTAACAAAGCAGCCCCCGCCGCATGTTTGACCGACATGTACAAAATTTCTGTGGTACATCTACCATGTCCAGACGCACAGAAAAGTCTCTTGGAGCGATGCCCTAAACTCAACAGGAAGTTGGCCCATTCTAGTTTTACCACCATTTTTGGATTATTTACTCATTACGTACTTTAACTAACTCCTCCTAAGGATTTTGTTGGATCGACTTCAAATTTCTGCTGTGCCTTCTAAAGGCATTGACGATGTAAAGTTGTGCTATCTGCGTGTTTTCGTCGGTGGGCGTGTCCGTGGCGTCTGATTCGCCATGAAACAGGAAGTTGTTGTAACTTCAGTGTACATCCTCAGACCTGAGCGAAATTTTATACGTTATACAACAGTCCTGCCCTGAACACATGCACATGCCAAAATTAGACCACAGTCAAAGCGCCACCTGCTGGGAACAGGAAGTGACCATTTTGAATTTTACGTAAATTTTTGGGTGATTTGAATGTGCAGCAATTTCACAGCCGCACCGGCTGAGCTCCAGAATATGCAATGCGGCCGCCTCACACCCCGACGTACTAAAGGTGTGAGGGCCCGCCCATCGCTGCTTGCAGCTTTAATTACATTTGACTTTTCTAACATGATGGAATATCTTACATCTCGCAAGTTATTTTGTAAAAAATGCCATGTTATTTAGGCTAGAAGTGGGTTTACACATAGCCAGACTATACTTATATGGGTACTATACTTTGACATTCTATTAGATACTGTGAACGCGTAGCTAAAATAATCCTGGTGACCAGTGAAAGTGCAGTTCTGACTCTGCCCATTCATTTAGATAGGAGCCTGGTCTTGTTAGTCTGAAATAGCTGCCCGGAGGCGTTGCCAAGATGGCGGCCGAGTGGCAGGACTTGCCTAAAAGGACTTTGTTGGATGGCACACTGTCCATTTTTTAGTGAATAGGTAGCCTAGTGTAACATTTTTCTTTTTGCTAACAAACAACTGATTATGTGACTAGCTTACCTGCTGAAGCTCTTCTTGATTCTTCTCCTCTCCATGTCCATCCTCTGTCTTTCTTTTGAAATATTTCAGCAAGCTCATCTAACAAAACGTAATTTGTACCATGAGCCTATTTTTTATTGAGTGATTAGCTTACCCACATTACACACGTCAGACAACGATTGCAACTATGCCACTTCCTCAATCCTCAATACAACTATACAGGGAAAACTGTAATGTTTGGGTGCAGAAACCATTTATGCTAGAAATATGCAAATAGCTACAATTGTAGTTAACAAGTTAAAAATACATGTTAAAACAGTAGATGATTTAACCCTTGTGCATCAATTAAAAAAAGTTACACATAGGTAAAAAGAGGACAAAAATGTCCATCTCAAAAAAAGTTATATAGTTAGAAGTTTATGAAAATTATTTATAAAAAATATTTTACATAAAATATATATTTTATAAATCGGGTTGAACTCAAAACTGCAATAAAATCAAAGCCATAAATCTAAATAGGTTGTGTTCCAAATTTGAGGATGATATCTCAAAAAATGAGCTTTGGGTAACAGTTTGTTTGGCCGTAGTAACATATTTTCCCCATTGGGTGCCAGCAAAACCCCACTGGAGCTCACAGTGATTGGATTTGAATTTGCAGTTTTTCTCTCTCAGTATTACAAACACACACATGCGCACACACACACACACACATTTTTTATAACACACATACTAACCACACTCTGACATCCATACCAACACACCCAAACAAATATTGTTGCATAATTTATCCAGTTGGCTCTATAGTATGCCAAAGCAGAAAACAGGAAAATTTTGAAGCCTTGCCATCAGAATGAAAGCCTCTTAACAAAGATTGCATAATTTTATAGTTAACTGAACCGGGGACTAAAAATTGATGTTTTAATGGGTTTCAATGGGGACATTTTTGTCCAAAAGGTGCTGAGAGGGAGTATTTTTTGTACCTAATGCAAAAAATATTTTTTTAAGAAAATAACGGTGAAATAGTAAAATTCCAATAAAAATACACACCTGTGCCAAGTTTTTTGCAGTTAGCTTTAACACAGGCAAAGTGATCAAAAAAACAAAACTGAAAAGGACAAAAATGTCCATAAGGATGCACAAGGGTTAAAAAAGAAAAGTTAATTTTATATGTCATTGTGGGATTGGCAAAATGACCAAAATCATATTTCAAGATGAGACATTTTAACAATAACACCAGGTCTATAAATGCTGTTCAGTTCAGGAGGTTTATTTAAAGTAAACTGGATTTTATTATCATAATTGATCACGTGTTTACAGTACGATCAGATCATTTGGGTTTATTTTTTTCACATTTAATACATTGACATGTATCAATTTTACAACAACATGTTTTATTGAATGATACATTTAATTGAAAGGTAATTTTGATAGTAATAATAAAAATGATTTATGTGACAGTACAATAAGAACTGAATATAGTTTGAGAAAAGCACAGACACACAATGTCACTCATCGTGACTCACTCACACACTGATTTTTCTGTCTGTATGAGGATTCATTACACACATTTATTCTGACGTTATTTTACTGTAGTATTACTGGAATCAAGAGACAATAAGAGACGCTAAAACATCTCACTGTGGCTGGTTTATCATGCGGCCCAAAGCATTATGGGTAGAGTCTCTCTACAGCAGTAATTCTCAAAGTGTGGTCCGCGGACCACTAGTGGTCCGCCATCGCCCCCTAGTGGTCCGCGAAAAGATGACCTAAACTAGGCAAGTGTTTACAAAATCGTCACTTTTTCGCACGTACCAGTGTGATCAGTCTTCTTGGCTGATCCCTGGAATGTGTACGGTCACACCGGTGTGATTAGAATGTTCAGTGCTTCACGTCAGCAACTGCTAAATTCAAACTTGCCCTCGCGCGCTGGCTGGCGCTAAGCCAGAGACGGACGCACTCAGAGCTGTCATATAACACAACTATTGAGTGTTTTCAATGTTTATTTTAGGTTTCAGACATTTAAATACACATAAGTACTAGCAAAACAATGATTTTGAGTTTGTAAAATACACACTGATGTCTATGGAAGCGGCAATAATCCTTTCAGTTATAATAAGACAACAACACGTTTTATATCAGATACACATTGTGTAAGTACCTTTACATTTGACCCTATTCTTCTCCCAGTTCACCAGCCACTTACTATCATGTATTTCGTGAGAAGTGGAGGAATTGACGTTGTAAATCCAACAGATCTGATTCTCTGAACTGAAAAAGAAACTAAAAGCTCAACTAACGCGATCGTTATAAAGATGTTTAAACCATGTCAAACCCATCCACTTGCACATATTTGACAATCGGAATATCAGTGTTTCATGTTATAGCTAATACATTTATGAATATTTTTAACAAAAAAGACAAAAGCAGATCATCCTTCATTCAGCGCCGTGTTTTGGTTGTGCTGTGTCACGTGACAAGCAAAGACGCGTCACCATGGAAACATTAAAGTGGCAAGTTCTAAATAACGGTGCCTTGAAAAACTCACGCTGGGGGTCAGTTAGAATATTTTAAACTTACGTGTGAAAGGGTTAATAAACTTAATTACCAAGCTTTAGCTTTCAGTAAATAGAAAAATTATTCATAGGCAAAATCAACCTATATCAGTTGACCCTATGTTTACTTTCTTCACTGACAGAAAAATGAAAAGCCTATATCAGTCAAAGCTCAGTTAGGAGTTAAATTTAAACTTAAATTTAGCTTATCCTTACAACTTTTTTTTTTTTTTTTTTTTTTTTGTGTGTGTGGGGGTGGGGGGGGGCGTGTTAGAGTGGGATTTTGTTAGGTGGTCCTCAGAAAAAAAATGGAAGATAAAGTGGTCCTTGGGCTGAAAAAGTTTGAGAAACACTGCTCTACAGTCTGTTCTCACTCATCAACACAGTTTCACTGATGATGTAGGATAAACCATAAACCCAGGATAGAGTGTGTGTTTGAATGTGGTCTGGACTGTGTGTATGAGGCTCGTTGTGTCAGAGACGCTGTAGAAGGACAGAGTTCCTGCACTGGGATCCACATACACTCCTATTCTCCTGCTGATGGACTTTACAGGGAGTATAGTCGCTATGTTATTATGTCTAAGTGTGTAACCAGAGGAATAGCAGTTCAAACTCCAGGACTGATCATTAAATCCAAACACACAGTCATTACCCGATCCCTTCCTGCTGATGCTCTTATATGACACTGATATACACACAATCCCGCTCCACTCAATCTCCCAGTAACAGCGTCCACACACACTCTCTCTACACAACACCTGAGGATTATTAAATCTGTCTGGATGATCAGGATACGGACTGTAGATTGTGTGAGTGTGAGTAATCACTCTGTTCCTCTCAGAAAGACGGAGGTTTTTATTCACTGTGTTTGGATCCAGAGTGAACTGACGATAATCTGATGGAAAGAAAACACATCAGTGAGTGTGTGTGTGTGTGTGTTGGTTTTTTTTTTTTTTTTTTGGGGGGGGGGGGGGGGGGGGGGGGGGGGGGGGGGGGGTGAACTGATGAGAATCTAATGGAGAGAAAACACATCAGTAAGTGCAGGGTTAGGGTTTGTAACAATTGGGGGCTCGTCCGGGATATCACACTCACACTCCAAGTAGAAGCTCTGCCTTACAATGCAGGCACTTAATGTCTTGCACTGTTGATGGGGGCGTGACCCAATGTCGCTAATATGAGGCTTGTAGCGTAAGGGACAAATGACTTTATCAAAAAATAATAATGCATACATTTCAGCTTCTTTTAGACCGTTTCTGTTCAGGAGGTTTTTTTTATTATTAAATTTATTTCCCCCCTCCTCAGACAGGGGTGGGGCCTTGAG